ATGGAGAGAGGAGCTGGGGAATTCAGGGATCTGCTAGGGAATCCAGGGATCTGCTGAGGAATTCAGGGATCTGCTGTGGAATCCAGGGATGGAGTTGCTGAGGAGTTCAGGGATCTGCTGAGGAATTCAGGGATAGAGTGAGAAATTCTGGGGTGGAGTGAGGAGCTGGGGAATTCAGGGATGGAGTGAGGAATTCAGGGATCTGCTGGGGAATCCAGGGATGGAGTGAGGAGCTGGGGAATTCAGGGATGGAGTGAGGAATTCAGGGATCTGCTGGGGAATTCAGGGATCTGCTGAGGAATCCAGGGATGGAGTGAAAAATTCAGGGATCTGCTGAGAAATTCAGGGATCTGCTGAGAAATTCAGGGATCTGCTGGGGAATTCAGGAATCTGCTGAGGAATCCAGGGATGGAGTGAGAAATTCAGGGATGGAGAGAGGAGCTGGGGAATTTGGGGATGGAGTTGCTGAGGAGTTCAGGGATCTGCTGGGGAATTCAGGGATAGAGTGAGAAATTCAGGGATGGAGAGAGGAGCTGGGGAATCCAGGGATCTGCTGGGGAATCCAGGGATGGAGTGAGGATGTGAGGAATTCAGGGATCTGCTGAAGAATTCAGGGATCTGCTGAGGAATCCAGGGATGGAGCTGCTGGGGAATCCAGGGATCTGCTGAAGAATTCAGGGATCTGCTGAAGAATCCAGGGATCTGCTGGGGAATCCAGGGATCTGCTGGGGAATTCAGGGATCTGCTGAAGAATTCAGGGATCTGCTGAAGAATCCAGGGATCTGCTGAAGAATTCAGGGATCTGCTGAGGAATCCAGGGATGGAGTGAGAAATTCAGGGATGGAGAGAGGAGCTGGGGAATTCAGGGATGGAGTGAGGATGTGAAGAATTCAGGGATCTGGTGAGGAATTCAGGGATGGAGTGAAAAATTCAGGGATCTTCTGGGGAATTCAGGGATCTGCTGGGGAATCCAGGGATCTACTGAGGAATCCAGGGATCTGCTGGGGAATTCAGGAATCTGCTGGGGAATTCAGGGATCTGAGGATTTTGTGTTGATCCTCAGGGAATTCTTGAATAAATCAGATTTTGATCTCGGACAGGGCGGAATTTCCCTGCTTGCTGTGGGAGCTCAGATCCACCCGGAGACGGGAAGGGAATTTTGGTTGGGAATTTTGGGAATTTTGGGAATTTTGGCTGGGAATTTTTCTCTGTGAATTTTGGCTGGGAATTTTGGCTGGGAATTTAATCTAGGAATTTTGACTAGGAATTTTGTTTAGGAATTTTGGCTGGGAATTTCGGCTGGGAATTTTGTTTAGGAATTTTGGTTAGGAATTTTGGCTGGGAATTTTGGCTGGGAATTTTGGCTGGGAATTTTGGCTGGGAATTTTAGTTAGGAATTTTGGCTAGGAATTTTGGTTTGGAATTTTAGCTGGGAATTTTGGTTGGGAATTTTGGCTAGGAATTTTGGTTGGGAATTTTGGCTGGCAATTTTGGCTGGGAATCTTGGCTGGGAATTTTGGCTGGGAATTTTGGCTGGGAATTTTGGCTGGGAATTTTTTCTGGGAATTTTGGCTGGGAATTTCGGCTAGGAATTTTTTCTGGGAATTTTGGTTGGGAATTTTGGCAGGGAATTTTAGCTGGGAATTTTGGTTGGGAATTTTTTCTGGGAATTTTGGCTGGGAATTTTGGCTGGGAATTTCAGCTGGGAATTTTAGCTGGGAATTTTGACTAGGAATTTTGGTTGGGAATTTTGGCTGTTAATTTTTCTCTGTGAATTTTGGCTGTGAATTTTGGCTGGGAATTTTGGCTGGGAATTTTGGCTGGGAATTTTAGCTGGGAATTTTGACTAGGAATTTTGGTTAGGAATTTTGGCTGGGAATTTTTCTCTGGGAATTTTGGCTGGGAATTTTGTCTGGGAATTTTGGCTGGGAATTTTGGCTGGGAATTTTGGTTGGGAATTTTTTCTGGGAATTTTGGCTGGGAATTTTGGCTGGGAATTTTGGCTGGGAATTTAATCTAGGAATTTTGGCTGGGAATTTTGGCTGTTAATTTTTCTCTGTGAATTTTGGTTGGGAATTTTGGCTGGGAATTTTTTCTGGGAATTTTGGCTGGGAATTTTGGCTGGGAATTTTAGCTGGGAATTTTGGCTGGGAATTTTGGTTGGGAATTTCAGCTGGGAATTTTGGCTGGGAATTTCAGCTGGGAATTTCAGCTGGGAATTTTAGCTGGGAATTTCAGCTGGGAATTTTGGCTGGGAATCAGCTCCAGGGGTGATGAAATCTCACTCTTGGCAACCTCACCGCGTCAAACCCAAAAACCCCAAAAATTCACCTTCCAAACCAAATTTCCCACTTGGAAAAGCAGAATAAACCCAAGGCAGCGAGAGAAACCAAAAGGAATTTTCCCAGCCGGGATAATCCGAGGTGGGGGTGGGGATTCCCTTGGGATATTCCAGCTCCTTCAGCATTCCCAGATTCCGTTTTTTCCGCCTTTTTCCCAGAGCTGCTGCCTACAGCAAGCTGGGGAATTACGCCGGAGCCGTGCGGGATTGCGAGCGCGCCATCGGCATCGACCCCAGCTACAGCAAAGCCTACGGCAGGATGGGGTGAGCAGCGCCGATTCCCGCCAAATTCCCGCTTTTCCCATGGAATTTTCCCCTTTTCCCATGGAATTTTCCGCTTTTCCCATGGAATTTTCCCCTTTTCCCATGGAATTTTCCCCTTTTCCCATGGAATTTTCGGCTTTTCCCATGGAATTTTCCCCTTTTCCCATGGAATTTTCCCCTTTTCCCATGGAATTTTCCCCTTTTCCCATGGAATTTTCCGCTTTTCCCATGGAATTTTCCCATGGAATTTTCCGCTTTTCCCATGGAATTTTCCCCTTTTCCCATGGAATTTTCCGCTTTTCCCATGGAATTTTCCCCTTTTCCCATGGAATTTTCCCCTTTTCCCATGGAATTTTCCGCTTTTCCCATGGAATTTTCCGCTTTTCCCATGGAATTTTCCCCTTTTCCCATGGAATTTTCCCCTTTTCCCATGGAATTTTCCGCTTTTCCCATGGAATTTTCCCCTTTTCCCATGGAATTTTCGGCTTTTCCCATGGAATTTTCCCATTTTCCCCTTTTCCCATGGAATTTTCGGCTTTTCCCGACGAGATTTTGGGTCCTGGAACGTCCCAGAGCGGGGGATTTTCAGTTTGTGGTACCACGGGAAAATTCCCTGGTGTTTAAGTTTTTTAGGATGGAGAAAATTTCCTATTTTTTAATTTTTTAGAAAATTGATATGAACCAAATAAATTAAAAAATTACCAAAAAAAATCCTCTGTGACTTTAATTTTTTAATTATTTTTATTTTTTTCCAGTGAATTTTGGATTCTTGAACACCCAAAAAAAATTCCCTCGTGTTTCAACTTTCCAGGATGGAGAAAAAAAATCCGATTTTTAAAATTTTTTAGAAAATTAATATGAACCAAATAAATTAAAAAATTACCAAAAAAAAAATCTTCTGTGACTTTAATTTTTATTTTTTTCGGGAAAATTTTGGATCCTAGAACACCCCAAAAAAAATTCCCTGGTGTTTCAGGTTTTTAGGGTGGAGAAAAATCTGTATTTTTTAATTTTTAGACGATTTACATGAGCTAATTAAATTTAAAAAGTGTCAAAAAAACCCCTCTGTCACTTTAAATTTTTAAATTTTTTATTTTTTTTTCAGGGAATTTTGGGTCCTAGAACACCCCAAAAAAAATTCCCTGGTGTTTCAGGTTTTTAGGGTGGAGGAAAATTCGTATTTTTTTAATTTTTAGAAAATTAATGGATTTAAAAAGTAATGAATAAAACCCTCAGTGACTTTAATTTTTTAATTATTTTAATTTTTTCCAGTGAATTTTGGATCCCTGAACACCCAAAAAAATTCTCTGGTGTTTCAGGTTTTTAGGGTGGAGAAAATTTGTATTTTTTAATTTTTTAGAAAATTGATATGAACCAAATAAATTAAAAAATTACCCAAAAAAATCCTCTGTGACTTTAATTTTTATTTTTTCCAGGGAATTTTGGATCCTTGAAATCCCCCCCAAAATTCCCTGGTGTTTCAGGTTTTTAGGGTGGAGAAAAAAATCGTATTTTTTTAATTTTTAGAAAATTAATGGATTTAAAAAGTCATGAATAAAACCCTCAGTGACTTTAATTTTTTAATTCTTTTTATCTTTTTCCAGTGAATTTTGGATCCTTGAACACCCCAAAAAAATTCCCTGGTGTTTCAGGTTTTTAGGGTGGGGGAAAATTCCTATTTTTTAATTTTTTAGAAAATTAATATAAACCAAATAAATTAAAAAATTACCCAAAAAAATCTTCTGTGACTTTAATTTTTATTTCTTCCCAGCCTGGCCCTTTCCAGCCTAAACAAACACACGGAAGCCGTGGTTTATTACAAAAAAGCTCTGGAATTGGATCCGGAAAATGAAACGTACAAATCCAACCTGAAAATCGCTGAACAGAAAATGAAGGAGACTCCCAGTCCGGTAAGTCCTGGAATTTGGGGAATTTTAAGGTTAAAATCCTGGAATTTGGGGATTTTTAAGGCTAAAATCCTGGAATTTGGGGGTTTTTAAGGTTAAAATCCTGGAATTTGGGGATTTTTAAGGTTAAAATCCTGGAATTTGGGGATTTTTAAGGTTAAAATTCTGGAATTTGGGGATTTTTAAGGTTAAAATCTTGGAATTTGGGAAATTTTTAAGGTTAAAATCCTGGAATTTGGGGAATTTTTATGGTTAAAATCTTGGAATTTGGGGATTTTTAATGTTAAAATCCTGGAATTTGGGGAATTTTAAGGTTAAAATCCTGGAATTTGGGGAATTTTAAGGTTAAAATCCTGGAATTTGGGGAATTTTAAAGTTAAAATCTTGGAATTTGGGGATTTTTAAGGTTAAAATCCTGGAATTTGGGGATTTTTAAGGTTAAAATCCTGGAATTTGGGAATTTTTTAAGGTTAAAGTCCCAGAATTTGGAAATTTCTTAAGGTTTTCACTGGAATTCCCTGGGAATGGGATGGGAATGAGGGATGGGAATGAGGGCTGGGAATGGGATGGGAATGGGATGGGAATGGGAATGAGGGGTGGGAATGGGATGGGAATGAGGGATGGGAATGAGGGATGGGAATGAGGAATGGGAATGAGGAATGGGAATGAGGGATGGGAATGGGAATGAGGGATGGGATGAAGGCTGGGAATGAGGGCTGGGAATGGGATGGGAATGGGATGGGAATGGGAATGAGGGATGGGATGAAGGCTGGGAATGAGGGCTGGGAATGGAATGGGAATGAGGGATGGGAATGAGGGGTGGGAATGGGAATGAGGGGTGGGAATGGGAATGAGGGATGGGATGAAGGCTGGCTCTGCTCTCTCCTCCAGACCGGCGGCCCCGGAGGCTTCGACTTGGCCGGATTGCTGAACAACCCCGGCTTCATGAGCATGGTAATTCCAGATCCCGGGATTCCTCGGGATTGGGGCCGCTCCGGGAGCGCTGGTGTCTCCCCACATGGAATTCCTTGGGCTGGAGCCTCTCTGGGAGCCCCAGTGTCTCCTTCCATGGAATTCCTTGGGATGGAGCCTCTCTGGGAGCCCAAATGTCTCCTTCCATGGAATTCCTTGGGCTGGAGCCTCTCTGGGAGCTTTTCCCGGCTGGAATTCCTTGGGATGAAGCCTCTCTGGGAGCCCCAAAGTCTCCTTCCATGGAATTCCTTGGGCTGGAGCCTCTCTGGGAGCTTTTCCCGGCTGGAATGGATGGAGCCAGCTGGAATTCCTTGGGATGGAGCCACTCTGGGAGCTTTTCCCAGCTGGAATTCCTTGGGATGGAGCCTCTCTGGGAGCCCCAATGTTTCCTTCCATGGAATTCCTCGGGCTGGAGCCTCTCTGGGAGCTGTTCCCAGCTGGAATTCCTTGGGCTGGAGCCTCTCTGGGAGCTTTTCCTGGCTGGAATTCCTTGGGATGAAGCCCCTCCAGGCTCTCTGGTGTCTCCTTCCCTGGAATTCCTCGGGCTGGAGCCTCTCTGGGAGCTTTTCCCGGCTGGAATTCCTCGGGCTGGAGCCTCTCTGGGAGCTGTTCCCGGTCCCTGGAGCTGTGTGGAAGCTCCTGCTGTTCCCTCCAGCTCCGACAAAGCCGGGAATTTCTCCTCAGGCTTTCCACGGGTTCTGGAATGGCTTGGGCTGCTCCAGGCTCGACCTTTGCTCTTCTTCCCCCTTTTTCCCGGATTCCCAAGGATTCCCAAGGATTCCCAAGGATTCCCAAGGATTCCCAGGGATTCCCAAGGATTCCCAAGCATTCCCAAGGATTCCCAGGGATTCCCAAGTATTCCCAAGCATTCCCAAGGGATTCCCAAGGATTCCCAGGGATTCCCAAGGGGTTCCCAAGGATTCCCAAGGATTCCCAGGGATTCCAGGGATTCCCAGGGATTCCCAGGGATTCCCAAGGATTCCCAAAGATTCCCAGGGATTCCCAAGGATTCCCAAGGATTCCCAAGGATTCCCAGGGATTCCCAAGGGGTTCCCAAGGATTCCCAAGGATTCCCAAGGATTCCCAAGGATTCCCAGGGATTCCCAAGGGGTTCCCAAGGATTCCCAAGCATTCCCAAGGATTCCCAAGGATTCCCAAGGGGTTCCCAAGGATTCCCAAGGATTCCCAAGCATTCCCAAGGATTCCCAAGGATTCCCAGGGGTTCCCAAGGATTCCCAAGCATTCCCAAGGATTCCCAAGGATTCCCAGGGATTCCCAAGGATTCCCAAGGATTCCCAAGGATTCCCAGGGATTCCCAAGGGGTTCCCAAGGATTCCCAGGGATTCCCAAGGATTCCCAAGGATTCCCAGGGATTCCCAAGGGATTCCCAAGGATTCCCAAGGCTTTCCCTTGGGGGTTGATCCCGCTCTGTCGTTTTTTGTTCCCCACAGGCCTCAAACCTCATGAACAACCCCCAAGTCCAACAGCTGTGAGTTGGATCCCGCTTTTCTTTATTCCCTCCGGGAATTCCTCCCTCCAGGCTCGCTCTCTCCGTGGCTTTGGCCTTTCCCCATGGGAACAGGAGGGAATTTGGGCCTGGAATGTGGAGGGGGTTGGGAAGCTCAGGTTCCCTGAGCTGGGGCGCTTTGGGAGCTCTGGGAAGGGCTGGGAGAGGGGTTGGAATGAAATCATTCCAGAGGGAGGTGGGATGGGATGGATCATGGATCATGGAATTGGCTTTTTGATGGGATCCCGGGATTTCCCAGCTCAGCTGGAATGGGAATATTCCCATTCCTGGATGGCTGTGAGGAGCAGTTCAAGATATCCCAGGAAAATGAATAAATTCCTAAATCCAGGGAATGCTCAGGCCAGGCCTGGGGGAGGAGGGAGGGACCCTCTGGATTGGGATTCTTGGGAATTCTTTGGGATTCTTTGGGATTTTTTGGGATTTTTTGGGATTTTTTGGGGATTTTTTGGGATTCTTTGGGATTTTTTGGGATTTTTTTGGGATTTTTTTTGGATTTTTTGGGATTTTTTGTGATTTTTTGAGGATTTTTTTGGGATTCTTTGGAATTTTCTTTGGGATTCTTTGGGATTTTTTGGGATTTTTCAGGATTTTTTGGGATTTTTCAGGATTTTTTGGGATTTTTTTGGATTTTTTGGGATTCTTTGGGATTTTTTGGGATTCTTTGGGATTTTTTTGGGGATTTTTTTTGGGATTCTTTGGGATTTTTTGGGATTCTTTGGGATTTTTTGGGATTCTTTGGGATTTTTTTGGGGATTTTTTTTGGGATTCTTTGGGATTTTTTGGGATTTTTTTTTGGGATTCTTTGGGATTTTTTGGGATTTTTTTGGGATTCTTTGGGATTCTTTGGGATTTTTTTGGGATTTTTTGGGATTTTTTTGGGATTCTTTGGGATTTTTTGGGATTTTTTTGGGATTCTTTGGGATTTTTTGGGATTCTTTGGGATTCTTTGGGATTTTTCAGGATTTTTTGGGATTTTTCGGGATTTTTTGGGATTCTTTGGGATTTTTTGGGATTTTTTGGGATTCTTTGGGATTTTTTTCGGGATTCTTTGGGATTCTTTGGGATTTTTGGGGATTTTTTGGGATTCTTTGGGATTTTTGGGGATTTTTTGGGATTCTTTGGGATTCTTTGGGATTTTTTTGGAAATTTTTTGGGATTTTTTTGGGAATTTTTTGGGATTTTTTGGGATTCTTTGGGATATTTTGGGATTCTTTGGGATTTTTCGGGATTTTTTTGGGATTTTTTGGGATTCTTTGGGATTTTTTTTGGGATTTTTTTGATATTTTTTGGGATTTTTTGGGATTCTTTGGGATTCTTTGGGATTTTTTGGGATTCTTTGGGATTTTTGGGGATTCTTTGGGATTTTTTGGGTTTTTTTGGGATTCTTTGGGATTTTTCAGGGTTTTTTGGGATTCTTTGGGATTCTTTGGGATTCTTTGGGATTTTTCAGGATTTTTCGGGATTTTTCGGGATTTTTTGGGATTCTTTGGGATTTTTTGGGATTCTTTGGGGTTCTTTGGGTTTTTTTTGGGATTCTTTGGGATTCTTTGGGATTCTTTGGGATTCTTTGGGATTTTTTGGGATTCTTTGGGATTTTTTGGGGGGGATTTTTTGGGATTCTTTGGGATTTTTTGGGATTTTTTGGGATTCTTTGGGATTTTTCAGGATTTTTTTGGGATTATTTGGGATTCTTTGGGATTCTTTGGGATTTTTGGGGATTCTTTGGGATTTTTTTTTTTATTTTTCGGGATTTTTTGGGATTTTTTGGGATTCTTTGGGATTTTTCAGGATTCTTTGGGATTTTTCAGGATTCTTTGGGATTTTTCAGGGTTTTTTGGGATTTTTCCTCCTTTTCTTCCCTCCCAGAATGTCCGGGATGATCTCGGGAGGTCACAACGCCATGGGAGCGGCCGGGAGCAGCCCCAACACCAACGACCTGGCCAGCCTGATCCAGGCGTGAGCGCGGCTGGGGACAGGCGGGGACACAATGGGGACAGGCTGGGGACACAATGGGGACAGGCTGGGGACAGGCTGGGGACAGGCTGGGGACAGGCTGGGACACAATGGGGACAGGCGGGGACACAATGGGGACAGGCTGGGGACAGGCTGGGGACAGGCTGGGGACAGGCGGGGACACAATGGGGACAGGCGGGGACACAATGGGGACAGGCTGGGGACACAATGGGGACAGT